GTAAGAAGCAGTGGGATGGGGGAGGGGTGAAGGTGAGAGGTGGATCTGCATGAGTCAGCTCCCCCATGGTCACCAGCTTCCACCTCTCCCCACCCAATACAGAGACAGCAACGGGGAGAGCATATAGTTGGTAGGTTTAACCAATAAGTCCAGGCTTACTGGTTAATTATGTAACTGACTACACCCTAACATCCCTAATTCATGGTAAATTATTTTTTAATTTAATTTTTAAATAAAAACTCAGATTACATTTTTACTTAGTACAAAAGCAGCTAATTTTCCTTTAGATCTAGTTTCACACACAGCAGTAAAAGCAAAGATTCCAATCCCATCGACAGCAGCATTCTGCCATCACTCTCCATTCACTCTTGCCAAAATGTAAAGGACTTACATCACCAGAAATGTCTGTCTGAGACCCTGCATCCAGAGTCTGTCTAGAGAGGGACAACTGAGAGTTTACAGAGCTGGACCTCAAATCTGGTTCAGATATCCCAACAGTCTGGTCAAGGTGAAATCGTTCTCTCAACTTTGCAAGGCTCTGAAATCAAAGAATACTTTACTAGTATGTTTTTGCACTTCAGGGAACATTTCATCACTGCTACACATCAATCTTATCATTTAAGCACCATAGCATGAAGCTTGTTTCCATATTCAGCTCCAGACTGGCCCTGGGAAAGGTGAACAGTGAAGTATCTCTCTTCCTTCTGCATGCCCACATGGTTTCCATTCAGATGAATGCCAAGACTGCATGAGCCTAGTACCACTTGCCATTGCAAATGTACCAAAAGAAAAAGAAGAAGGTTTCCTCTTTATATCAGCAAGAACAACTGGCCAGCTGTGGAGGGGAATGCATGGGACACCCCTTAAGAAAAGGCACAGCAGCACACTTAAGAGAAGGACCACAATGTAATCAGAAAAGGGTTGCATGTGTCAATTGTATCTACCACAATCTCTCAAACATTTAATCAAAAATCCCAAAAGGGAAAACTCAGTTTTCATTGAGTACTAAGCAAGTTATCCAGCCATCCAGACAGCTCTATTGGTTTATTTATACCAATCTCCATTACATAGCTGCTCAAGATGAAGTATGCTCTCTCTGAGGAAGAACCTACATCTTCCCTTGAGCTTGAACCACCCCAAGCACATTGGGGGGACTATTTCAATATAAATAATAGTCTTTCCTGGTTTTAGAGATGGAGAAACCGAGGCTTGAAGAGAGTGATTCGCTCCGGGTCGCAGAGCAAGGCTTTGGCAAGAAACAAGAACAGAATCATGATCTCTTGATTCCCAGTCCCATAACCTAGATTGCTTATATCTGCACATTATTGTTTAGGCAGCACCATGAATATAAGAAATGTGTCCACTGAGTTTCACTGCATAATACACGGTAAAGTTCAATGATCGGTCGGACACGATGAAATAAAGGAAAAACAGTGCTGTTAGCTTTCAACCATTTGTTTTCCATACACAAAGGGATAGGCAATCTTTTCATGCCCAAACGTTTTATAAAAAATTGCTGTTCCAAGCCAACAATGGAACCATGTCAAAATAAAAGGCAGAAAATACGAATTAAATCTCAGACTTTGCATTCATAACAGGTTCATTTTTATAAATTACTATTAAATCAAATCAATATATGGCGTATAAATGTCCAAGATAAAAAGGCAATGGATCAAATGACCAAGACAAATAGACTTCACAGACCACGCCAGGGGCTCCATTGTACACTTCACTTAACAAAAGCATCTTTCATTTTATTGTAGTTTGTTCATTGGCTGATTTTTTAGCTAGTTTTGCCAAAACCTATTTTCAGGAATGGATACATCGAGGTTAGATTCAGCGTGAAACCCTGACTCTATTGAAATCAATAGCAAGACTTCCACTGACTGTAATATGGCCATGATTTCACACAGGATTGTTAAGTACCGGAGTAAAAATATTTAACATGCATTCTCAATCTCTCACTCTTTATCTCTGGCACTGTGGTTTGTCTTTTTGATGCGCGGTTCTTTTAAAGAGCTTGTGGTGAGAGACAGGATATTTATGTTCCCATCCTGACTCTGCAAGTGATTTTCTGGGTGACCTAGAGCAAATCATGTAATCTTTAAATACCTCAGTTTCTTCATTTATAAGTTGGTATACTTAGTGTTACAAAATTCTTTGAGTTCCTATGTTTAAAGGCGAACAAGTGCAAAGCAGTTATCACAAAATCACTTTAGGGTTTAAAAAAATTAACATCAACCCCTCAAGATATCAAACAAAATACCTGCATTAAATCTTGTTTTTCTCTTTCTCCTGAGCTTATGGCCTTTCTGATAGACTTCAGCTCACTCAGAATGGCTTTGGCTTCACTTAGTTCGTATCCACTCTGACCTCCAGACATTTTTTGGTCAATTCTGTAAAAAGAAAAATTGGTAATGGTAGGAAAAAAATGAAAATCTGTGCCGTTCCATTTCAGAAGCAGTTTATTTCTGGAGAACTGGGGGATTAGAGACACGGATTCCCTATTAAAATAACCACTTGCCTTGACAGACAAAGAGAAAGGAAGTTATATGCACTTAAACAAAAAAAAAAAAGCCATCCGTAATCGAGTTGGAAAAAATTCCCAGTGGCACCGCTACCAAGTCAGCTAGATCACTAGAAGCCTTAGTGCAGACAAGATCCAACAGCAAGATGAATGACTCAACAGCAAAGACATCAAAAGCTGTTGGAGCCTTCTCCAAAAGTAGGACTCATATAGATGCTAACATGAATACAGCTGGACTAGTGACAGCACTGGTCAAATTTTTCTAAATTCTACTGGTGTAAACACAGCTTTTGGGTGAAACAAATCAAACTCTAGTATCTGAATATTTAATTGCGGGGACAGAGAGGAAGAAATGTATGGATTCTTGATGCTGTTGATGACAGTATATTCTGATTTTTTCTTACTTTACACCTCTCCACTTTTCTTTCCCTCCCCATCATCTTTGACAGATAAGCAGATTCTTTGGCACTAATCAGCCTCGAAGAGAAGAAAGTAACTGTGCCAAGCTTGTCTCGGATTCTGTCTGGTCCATCCTGTTCTTAGGCATTCAAATGGTTAAGAGGAGCAGTTTGTTTCACACAATCTGCAGGTTCTCTTTTACCCACAGAATCTCTAGAGAATTATCATATGCCATACAATAGATAACTTACAGAGCAAACAACTCCTAGAATATCAATGATTTAAAAAGTTTTTTGAAGATGTGTACTGCACAGAACATAAAGACAAAAAGGTATTTCATCTTGTCTTGCCAGGTTTACTTAAACAAATGCCATTTATAAGCACATTTCTCCTATCTGGTATTATTATACTGAATATTTCATAGCATTGTGCAAACTATTACAGCTGTGCCTCACAAAATTTAAACAAAACCTGGCATCTTTACAAAGATCAGCACCGAGTAAAGAATACATTCTTTATTCAATTGATTTTATGCTTCTGTCATCATCCATCATCTTCATTTGAAGATGTTAATCTTGTGAGTGTGGAACACACAAACACTTCCATGATCAGAAGTCAACATGAGTCGCCAGCACACATGCAGTAACTCGGCTCTGGGCTACATTGGGGAGTTATTTTGCAATAACCCCCCTTATTTTGAAACAACAAGTGGAGCATCCACACTACCAAGTCTGTTATTTTGAAATAACAGGCTGGTTATTTCAAAATCTGTATTCCTGCATTCCTCGGGGAAAAACACTTATTTTGAAATTGCTATTTTGAAAAATGTTAGTATGGACTCTCTGGTGATGCTAATTTGAAATAATTGGCCTCCAGAGGCTTTGGCTGCCCTGTAGGCCCCACCACCCTGTGTTCTGGGGCCCCGGGCCCTCTGGGAGTCTGCT